TTTGTGTATATAAAAATATAATAAATCTTAATTAATACAAAATTAAATCATATTATATTCATAAAAAAATCCTTTCTTATGCATATATTTTATTCACAAAACTTTTAACATTTTATTTAACCGAGTTCTTCTTCCGTTCGAATCAACTGTTTTAAATCGCCTATATATTACTGGCCAACATAAATGCACTCAACTCAACTCTACTGCGTTACGTTTTCCCTCCCTCTCTCCCTCCCTCCCTCCCACCCAACGCCTTCCGTAGACGGCTGGACCGACCCTCAAAATCTATGGAGGAAAAAGCAGGAAAGTGAGGGAAAATTTCAGTGGGCAAAGGAAAATAGGGGGAAATTTGCGTAAATTTTTTGGAGATATTAAGAGAAAGAAGCGGTAGATTGAGGGAGAGAAAAAAAGAAAAAAGGAGAGAAATGAAGCACATTTTCAAGAAGCTGCACAAAGGCCATAATCACGAGTCTAATCGGACAAACGAGACGCCGCCGCCGCCGCCGTTGCCGTCTCCCTCATGCGCCACCGATCATCAACGTACCATGTCCGGAAACTCTCCGATGAGTCCCTCCACGTCATCACCTTCTCCGGCTACTGTTTTGACGAGCTTCGGGAACACTAGAGCAGCGTCGACTGTGTCGGCAAGTAATGGTACCGATTACATGTTGTCGGAGGAGGAGTTCCAGGTTCAGTTAGCTCTAGCGATCAGCGCGTCGAATTCGGAGGATCCCCAGAAGGATCAGATCCACGCAGCGACTCTGCTGAGCTTGGGCAGTACAGGCAGGGATAGGGAGGAGGTGCCCGCAGAGGATTTATCGAGACATTATTGGGTGAGTGTTCGTCAACTTTCTCCTTACCTATTTTGAGGTCGAATTGGATTCTGGTGAATTCAAGTTGGAATGGGCTTTGTAGTGTTGGTGCTGGTGGATTGTAGTGAATGAGCTTACTTAAATAAAGGGCTTTTGTTCGTGCCTATAAGCAATTTTGAATTTCTGGTAATTAGAGCAAGTTACCATGGAATTGTGTAAGTATGGCCGTTCAGATATATATATATATATACACATTTTTGGCGAAGAAAACTGTAACCTTGAGTATTCTAGCATCTTGCTTTCTTTGTGAGTTAATCTAGTGGAGAGAGCATGAGTTGGAGAAAAGGGCTCTGATTTAAAGAAGTGATTACTTGGGTTATGTTACTTAATCCTTGCTCTTCTGATATCTGGCACTGATCCATTTTTGGATGGTGGCAATTAATGTTTTGGAACACTTAATGCTGAAGTATTAATTTTAATTGGATTCAATAGTATTGAATGTGCATGAATTAGGTTTGGATTGCTGATCATTGTTGGCAGTTGCTGCTGGTTGATTTTGGATTGTTAGGGTCAATGCAATTTACTCTCAGATTAGGTAAAAATGATGAATTGCAGCATCATGAAGTCTTTGACGCTATGAAATTGTAGTGGATGAGGTTGCACTAAGGATTTGTAATTGTATTTTGGTGGTTAAAGCTTGGAGCTTGGTTCTTAACAACTCAAATGTACTTTGTATCTAGTTTTAGATTATATATTGCTGGCCAAGAAATTTCATTGCTACCATGTCGGACTTGCATAATTTGTAGTTAGGAAAATTATGATCATCTTAATTATTTGAGTCCGGCATTTTCAAATTTAGTAGCTGAGTTGGAATGGTTACTTTTCTTGATTACATACATTGAATTCTTGATCCTTGCTTAATTTGGGGAAGGAGTATCTCCTGTGTACTGTTCTTTTGTTTTCTACTTTGTGAGGCTTTATTCAATCAGGTAAGTAGTTGATTTTGTGATAGAAATGTGATTTAAAATCTGCAAATTTTGTTTATGTGGTTTAGGTATTGTTGAAGTGATAATATTGACTAAAGAAGCAGTCGTTGCCAAATTGAGTTCACTTAAACAATTTAACATGTAGAAAATTTTTCTATTTAAGAATGCAATCAAATATCTGATTTTTTTGCGAGTTTAAAAAATATATTCTCCACGCCGGAATGTCTTTCGGGTATATTGAGATTTGAAAGTTTCTTGTACACTGTTACTTCATATTAATGCTTGACTGTAATTTGTTTAGATATATTGCTATGCTGTACTGTTTCTGTAGTTATTCTATTTGGCTTGACTTCTGTTAGATGTTTTAATGCACCAGGAGTACAGTGTGCTTGATTACGAAGAGAAAGTGGTTGATGGTTTCTATGATGTGTATGGGCCTTCCACAAATTCAGCACTCCAAGGAAAAATGCCATCTCTTGCAGATCTTGAGACAAATCTTGGGAATTATGGCTTTGAAGTTGTGATTGTCAATCGAACAATTGACCCTGTCTTAGAAGAGCTGGTGCAAATTGCACATTGTATTGCATTAGATTGCCCTGCTAGTAACGTTAGTGTTTTAGTCCAAAAGCTTGCTGAATTTGTCACAGGCCATATGGGTGGAGCTGTTAAGGATGCTAATATAATGTTGGCAAGGTGAATGGAAAGGAGCACAGAATTGAGAACATCTCTTCATACAAGTTTGTTGCCTATTGGGTCCATTAATATAGGATGAAAGTAATGTAGAGCATATTATGATTAACTTGCTTACGTGGAAATTTTGAATATTTAATTAAAATAAAATATAAGAACATGGTTAAAATAGCCTTTTCTTCAACCTCTCACCTAACCCTTTCTCAGTTTTTCTTCTTTCTCTCTTTCATCTCT